CGCTCACTCTAGCTTGACTTATATGTAAAACTCTGAAGAACTATGCCTCTATATCTTTAACTAACGTTGAGATATGTGTTGTTTTTATTTAGTGTTCTTCAGGATTCATCAACGAGCTGCCACATATTCTCAAAATGGCTTGTCCCAATTGCAAGAAATACTCATGTTTCCAGTGCAAAAAAGAGGTACTCTTGAGCAACCCCTTATAACGTAAAGAACATCGGAACTGATTCAATCGGATATATTTTTGTTTGTTTAGTGGGAAGACCAACACGATGGAATAACATGTGAACAGTTTGCCGCTTGGAAGGAAGCTAACGATCCCGAAGCACAGGCACATGGACTRGCTGCACATTTGARGCAAAATGGCATAGGTAAGAAGGTCACGTTTTTYCCACCAAACGTATGCTAGAGGATTAGGCCTTTTGTTGTCTCATTCTTCTCAGACGTCCCTCAGATGTTCTCAGACTACTATTATTTGTCTTGGCTTCAAGTTCTTATCATTTTAATAATTATTGATCTTTTTCAGAATGTCCAAATTGCAAGTTCCGCTATGACTTGGCCAAAGGTGGCTGTATGCACTTTAAATGTGTACAATGCAGTCACGAGTTTTGCAGCGGTTGTTACCAACCATTCAGACATAATCAGGTATCATGCAGCATAAAAAATATAGCGACATTGATAGGAGTGAAGGAATAGATATCAATGACAAATTTCCGATCGTTTTSCCTTAATTCATTGTTATTATTTCTACAATTGTAGCATTGCCCTGTCTCWCCTAATTGTGCAAGGCGTGGTCTGCATGCCCATCATCCTCGAGACTGCCTGTTCTATTTACGTGACAGAGACCCGCCCGTATTAAAAAAGCTCCTTGATGATAACAATGTAGAGTATAATACCGAACCTCCTCAAAGGCAAGCTGCAGGTGAGACAGTCCCGTCATACACCAACTACTGACAATTCAACCCACAATGCCTCACACAATGCCCCACAATGCCTCACAATGCCCCCTCCCCCTAACCCTAACCCTCCCCCTAACCCTCCCCGCCAAAAAACGACCACACCCAACAATTCACTCCTCTGCGTCATTCACCTATCAATCAATCTCTCTAACCAATCACCGAACGATATTCATTGCCATGATACCAGGTGCAGATGATGAAGTTCAAGGTGCTGCAGCGGCCGTTGACATTGGACCCTGTAAGGTCATGGAGCAAAGAGAATCAGAAGGCGGTTTACAAGACGTTGAATGTGGCAGAGAGACGCTTCCTGGTTATGCTGGGCTTTGTAGGTAAGTGAGCGATTCGTCGATTAAAACAAGGCTTTGGTCAAACTTAATGGCTAAAGGAAAAGTTTCGTTGTTTGTTTATGTCAAGTTGTTGTAGTCGTTCGTTACAAGCGCAGGCATTCTATATTTCTTTAATATGSAATTTTTATTGCATTTCTTCTCGATTCCTTATAAAAGATCGATTCTCTTTACACTGTTGTCTCAATCATCATATTTCTGCGTTCTTKTAGGCTACATTTCATCGAGTATCTCGTCGAACGAATCAACTCATATTTTATTGACCCTGTGGGAATCTTTGACATTAATGACTTAAAGGCCGAGCTGATAAGAAATGATTTAGAAGTGCCAGAGAAAAAAAGACGAGAGAAAGACAAAGACTACCACAAGAGAATTGTGAAGGTAAGAAATTATATGTAATTACTCTACCGTAAGAGCAAGTGCATGTCAAATTCAAAATGACAGACTGCGTCTTTTTCACAGCGAAGAGGGATAGTGGAGAATGTTGGCTTATCATTGCTTTTTGTTTTCTTTAGTACGTGCGAGAGAAACTACCTCTTCCGAGAAAGACTCCAAGAAGACGTATTCTAGACGTCGAGGAGCAGGTTCCAGCAATGCAAGCCCCGGATGAATTGATTCAGATTCATGTCGAGGAGCTTGAAGGAGATGGTCCTTACGTAGACCATGATGATCACCAATCCATTGAGAACAGCAGTGATTCAGGAGCAGGACTGTCAGATGAAGGCTAGCAGGGCCGTAGCCAGGGCGTATTACTGACATGTGCTCACTGATTCTAGTGGTTCTGGTTTCCCTCCAAGCAGCTCTATTGCTTCGATGGGGAGGTGCACATTCTCACAATGCTCCACCCTCGGCTGCGGCCCTGACACGCTCTAGATGAAGAAAACGTTGAATAATGGATATGATTTTATAGGCACGAGTCACGAGTAGTCAATGTACAGCCTTCAGTTATCCATCAAAAACATTTCAATATTTGCTAAATAAGGTACCCTTGTATAACCACAGCAATCAGATGCAAGAAAGGGACTTGAGCCTATAGATTTAGCGCTTTTTCTTTAATACATGTAAAAGGTGGGGAAATGCGTCGGATTATCCGTAAGCACTGAACTTCTTCCTCTGTGATTGACCTTTTACATGATATGGAATCTGAAAAGCGCTATAAGAGTTTTTTTGCAGGTACAATTGCAAACCGAGTACATATATTTTTGTAGAACACTTATAGTTTTGAAAAAGTCGCTTTTTCATTCATTGCGACTTCTGTCTTCTGAAAACATTTTAACATATTTGAAAATTGCTAAATCACTAACATTGATAGTTTAAACGAAGCTAAACGAGAATACAGCATATTGTAGGGAGGAGGGCTTTATCTCCTCAGTATTCAGCTGAAAGTTTTCAACGAGTGTTTGATTCGTTTGCTATTCACACTCTATGTGATAATTGTAATAATGCTTTAAAAGCTATAAAGGACCGTATAATTGTTTATGTTCTGACTAGTCAAGTAAGCATGAGTTTACTTTGATATACACTAGGTTTATTTCCCAATAAGTAGGGCGGGGATTAACCTAGCTGGATGAACTATACCAGGATTAAAAAAAACACAAAAACACGAATAGACGTACAAAGGAAAAATCACTCTTGTTAATTATGAATACACCGATAATAAAACTTGGGTAAAGTAAAAATATAAACGATTGATTGGAGTTATTGACAGGTTGATGATGTTTTAACATATGCTGACGCGCGCTTTATCACTGATCTTGTGTATATTTAACAGATAGATCTCATTTTTCCGTGTGTGTGTACTCTAATAGATACACAGATGACGACAAAATGTAGTGAGAACAAAAAAGTACGCACGAGACGCAGTCGAGTACGTGACTGTTGTTCTCACTACATTTTGACGTCATCTGTGTATCTATTAGAGTACACACGCACGCAAAAATGAGATCTATCTGTTTTATACAGCAAACAATTAGTTTTGACGTAATCCGTGTATCTATACTTTGATAACACACGAAAGCCAACCAATCAAAACGTCTGATTTTACTGAAAAGTTGTAWAAATCATAGTATTTGTTATGAAATATATACACGGATATTTTACAGGGTTGATACGGATAAAATTCAACTKGAATGGACGAATGAGCACGCGGTGCAAGGAAGCAGGTCTGAATACCACTTTTAAAACACGTAGTTCACTTTGTTAAATGAAACATTTCATTTTCTTTCAATCTTAGAAAGGAAATAAACTGTCAGCGGGTTCCTGCTACATTTTTATCATAAAATTCCAAGACTCTTGTTGAATTTTAAGGATTTTGAGTAGAATTACCATGAAGCGACTGATGGTAAACTTTTTAGGGCGTGTCACTTCCCGAGCCGTTATTCAGCTACTAGTACTCGCTTTTCGCGGTCAAAGGTGCGGAACGCCTGGCTTAAATCGTCCTCGGGGGCTGTCGTATGGCTCCAGCTTGGGCTTCAGCTTACAACTGAGAAGTGTCTTTGAGGTGTTTTTGCCCACTAAAGATGAAAGACAAATTAATCGAACCTCAGATTTCATTATCTTTGTATTCATGGATCTCTATTSTTGTTGGGTTGCTCGTGTTCGTTTATGTTATCATAAAGTGGCTCACTGACTCCGACGAAAAGACAAAATGGTGGCGTSAAGGCGTTATCTACCACATCTATCCCCGATCGTTCTGCGACACGAATGGAGACGGAAATGGTGATATTAGAGGAATMATCGATAAACTAGATTACTTGGAAGAACTAGGAGTCACTATCTTGTATCTGAGTCCAATATTCCAATCACCCATGGTCGATAATGGCTATGATATTTCAGATTTTTGCGATATCAATCCAATATTTGGAAACATGGACGACTTCGATGAATTAATAGAGAATGTACACGAGAGAGGTCTTAAGCTTGTGCTTGACYTWGTACCTAACCACACAAGTGATCAACATCCATGGTTCCAGGAGAGTTKCAAAAGTAAACGCAACCCGATGCGAAATTGGTACATATGGAGGGACCCTGGGAAAGACRGAGGACCWCCCAATAACTGGACAAGYGTCTTTGGTGGAAGTGCCTGGACATTTGATCCAATAACTAAGCAGTACTATCTTCATCAATTCTACGATGAGCAGCCTGATTTGAATTTTAGAGAACCCAAGGTTGTCAAAGCCATGAAAGATGTGCTCAGGTTTTGGTTTGACAAAGGTGTTGATGGTTTTCGAGTTGATGCAGTGCCTCATATATTTGAAGATGAAAACTTCCAAGATGAGCCAGTATTACCCAATTATGACCCAAAGAACCCCAAATATGAACATTTAAAGCATATATATACTTATGATTTAGACGAGGTCCACCCAGTCATTAGAGAGTGGAAACAGGTCTGTAATGAGTACAAAGATTCCTACCGTCTYTTGATYGGYGAAATAACTGAAGGTTCAACTGAAAAGTATTATGGAACCAAAGAAGCCCCTGAGTTTGATTTCCCATTCAATTTCACTTTGGTTAACCTAAACAGGAACAACACAGCGGCAGATATACATAAAATGATYCTTCAATATCTCAGCTCTTTACCCAAGGGYGCATGGCCAAACTGGTTACTTGGCAATCATGATGTTTCAAGAATCAGCAGCCGAGTTAGTGAAGATTGTATGGGTGCTTATCAGATTCTGTTACTAACCCTGCCAGGGACACCCATCATGTACTATGGTGATGAAATTGGAATGGCTGATGCTGACTTAGAAAATTCCAATCTTAAAGATTTTAGAGATCCCTACCGCACACCCTTACCTTGGAACTCGTCAAAGAATTCTGGATTTTCACCAGGGAAGAAAACATGGCTTCCAGTGTACAGAGGTTTTGAAGAGAGCAATGTTGAAATTGATCAGTTCAAATCAACTTCATTATTGAGTCTTTGTACAAAAATGCTTCACCTTCGAAATAAAACTCAAGCTTTTAAAACCTTGGAGTTTGAGGTTGTGCATGTGGATCAAAGTGTCCTTGCATACAAAAGATCTCACAAACAATCTGTTTATCTGGTGGTTCTTAATTTTGGATGTTACTCATGGGCTGGATGTCTGGATAATATTTCTGGACTTGGTACTTTGTTGATTGACAGTACCACCATTAAAGCGACAGGCACAAGGATTAATGTTAAACAGATTTTATTGCACAAAGGACAAGCACTAGTCATCAAGATGGACTGAGTTAATATAGTTAACATATTTTTTAACAAATAGATTCATGTCATAGAGCAAACTAAAAACAGTTAAAGGCYGATTTACACAACACGATCTTGATGATTTACCTACAACTTGAAAAACTAATCATAGGATGTTGATCCTTGGCTCAAAACTATAAACTATMCACCTTCAGTGACCTTGAAGAGTGAAGAACAATTTTAAAGTGTAGAGACTTGTGATTTAATAACAGTAAATTTAAGATTCATGGATGTTTTTCAAGTATTGACAATCAATGCATACATAATTATGATATTTTAGGTAGAGCTATTTGAAGTTTTTTATTACATGATAAAAAGTTCTGAAGTCATTAATTATGTACATTCATTGGCATGCCATCTTTATAAATATGTATGATAAATAACAATATTACAAGYATACTATTTTTACATTTCTTGATTTATTATTACTAGATATTTAATGCAGCAGTTCATCTACACATTAGATTAATGAATATTATCTTCAAGGGTATGTAAATATAAAGTAGTCCTACTAGACATATTTCTTCCATTTCTTCCACGTTTGAATGTAGGATGAAAATTGACATAATCTCTAAATGTATTCTACGGTTTTAAGACTTCATTCTAATATATTATACATAATTTGGTTCCCATTCAAACTGGCTTCAGAACAAAGACTGCATCACTTAAAACATAAAAGTTCTCATACAAGTCTCCCTCACATAAATAAGGTAATTTTGTAAAATGTTCAACTGCAAATCCACTAGGAAGAAACACACTCTCAATAAGGCTTACAACTTGTTCCTTCCAAGTCTCTCCATGTAAATTAATGAGCTCTGTTGGWGGAATTAAGCTTCTTCCTAGAAGAAATGTAAAATTATAGCAATAAATAAAGTGAGGAATGTGACAAAAGATAGCCATGAACAAAGCAATGCCAG